TTTTTAGATATCAGTGGTGGATCTTTTTACCCGCAGACTCTTATCATATTAAATCAATAATAAATACTTATTCAATAGTTTTAAATAATATGTCATATTATCAACAATATAATTTTAAATTGTATACCAAGATCGTCATAGGTTCTTTACAAGTTCATAAATATAATATATTTAACTGTTTATCAAATATTACAAAAAAACTTATGTTTCCTGGTAAAAACCAGCTTAAAGCTCGAAGGCGACGCCATTATTGACCATAATTTTTGATTATCGTCCCGTGACGTCACAGGAAGCATGCGCAAAAGCTTTCCTTCTAAACACGCCCACATCAGCCCCCCAAGTCAACAAGGGCTCCACCTTCGGTGGATTCCGGGGGTGGGAATCGCCCCACGACGGGGGAATGCTTTGGGGGAATGCCCCCGTCTGTATTGATGGGTCTGGTAAAGGCGAACTCTCCTAAGGCACAGATTTGGAGAATAATTTATGTACCGCTTTGGATATTAGCGCAGAGATTAGACTTAATACGGGAAAGTGTGTGTGAATTTGGGCTTTGCGACATTATACGCTTAATGCGTGCGTTCACTATTTGACCTTTTTGGTGGTTGGGTAGATCCATAGGTAGTGGACAATTATTTGCAATTGTAATGGAAATATTCAATTATATCTATATGGCAAATTGTAGATTATATATGAATATATGTGATAAAAACTATGATCATAAATAGTTATTCCAACTCTGCTGATGAATATTTCTGACAAAACACCAGATCAAGGTTATGTGCATATATAGTGTCAACTTTGTGAAGCATGTGCCTATGAAATTGGTTATTGGTATTATTGGTTATTAGTATTTTGCATTGGTTGAATAATGTAAGTAATATCCTCCTAAAATTAAAAATAATACATTAGCATTCTGATTGCACCTTTTCACTACGCCGATGGAGTATAAAGGGACAAATGACAAGTTTTAGAAAAATAGTCAAAGAACATATTTTTAAAATAAGAATTTTTTTTGTTATAATTTATTTTTCTTAAACAAGATTATAAAGTCAATAAGAAATTGACCCGAAGTTTTATTTGAACACAGTTTGGTATAGTTTGTTATGCTTTGTAACGTGGTATATTTTGTTTGGGAAGTATAATTACAGGAAGTCACGTTGGATTATTCTATATTACTAGTATTCTATATACAAATATGATAATAAAAAACCTAAATTTTATACCAATAATAATCTTATTATAACATATACTGATCGTTTCAATTCTAGCCGATTCATATTTTCAATTCTCTTTCCTTTGCCCAATGTTATTCATTATTTCATTATCATCGTTTCAAAGAAGAGTATGGTCAAAAACTTTTCACAAACTTTTTGCAATAACATCAAGCCACCGCTAACCAAAAACAAAAGAAAACAGCGTCATTTAATTGCCTCTCAGAACGAGCACATTATGAAATGTTTCTGTGTGGAAAATTAAAATACGTTTATGGTAAGAGTAATAATAACAAAAACTTTGGAAACTTTTCCTGCGATATATATATATATATATGTGTGTGTGTGTGTGTATGTGTGTATTTGATATTTCAGAGCTTAAAAAGAATTATTACTGTTATTCGACGACATATATTCACTTGCATCGTTAAACTTTTCGAGTTAAGTCAGGCGTATTTTCCAAGCAACTTATCACAGTGGTGAAATAAAATTATTTGGTATATGAAATTCAATAATATTTTCTGAAAAACTATTCATCGTTGTTTCGTATAGAAATTGGGTCAACGGTGTTTTGTATATAAAATTTTGTCTCCCCATTTGTCTTTAGATTTTTTTTTATATATTAGCTCTATTAGATACGCCACTGGGGGTATCTACTAATTTGTAGACAATTAATTGTAAACAACTAGTCAGCATTCTCTGCTAAGTGTAATTATTTTTATAGATTGCAGAATGAAAATAAAATTTAAAAAAATAAGGAATATATTTTTATAAATTTCAAAAAAGTTTATTTTGTTCATTTTTAACAAACATTTTTTTAAAACTTTAGTAAGAACAAAATGGTATACAGCATTGAATATTTAAGCATATAATGCGTGTACCTAATTAATAATTTTCAATTTTTTCATTTAATAATATTTAATTCATAAATTTATTCTAAGGATCTAAGAATCTAAGCTAATCTAAGCTTATTAATCTAAGAATCTTGATAAGTTTTTGATTCTGATAATACTTTTTAAAACAACCGAATGTTTTTTTAATTAATTTTTTTTTACCGAATTAATTTTTATTACTTAATTAAATTTTACAATATAATCTAGCACTAATGATATATGAATTTTCTACTGAAAAGTATTTCACTATAACTTAATACTATCTATAATTCTGTATTTAATAATATATATTTAAAAATGATATTGTGGTTTGTGAACAGAAAAGTACTGTCTTTAAATATCTAATTTAATCAGAATCCACACCAAAGTATTCACGTTCTGTAAAACTTTTATAAAATATATTTTTATATTTTTTAAAACTTTAGTAAGAACAACATTGTATACAGCATTGAATGCATACAATGCGTGTACTTAATTAATAATTTTCAATTTTTGAATTTAATAATATTTAATTCATAAATCTATTCTAACGAGCTTATTAACCTAAGATTCTTGATGATACTTTGTACAACAACTGAATTTTTGTTTTAATTTAATTTTTATTACTTAATTAAATTTTACAATATAATATAACACTAATGATATATGAATATTCTACTAAAATGTATTTTGTTATAACTTAATACTATCTATTATTATTCTTACTACTTCTATTATTGTTATTGTGTTATATTTTATTATTTTTCTAGTATTCTTTTATTATTCAGAAATTTTATTTATATTATTAATTAATTTTATTTTTATTATTATTTGCTTATATTTTATATCAAATCAAATTACGGATATTATTTTCATCTAAATTTTATCCCTTGCACTTTTATTTATTTAAATTTGTTATTATTTATTTATTAATATATATTACTAGATGTTAATAATTTAACAGTCGTAATAATTATTGAAATTAAAAAAAAATCTATTATTCTGTCTTTAATAATATATATTTAAAAATAAAATTATGATTAATGAAGAAAAATACTGTCTTTAAATATCTTTAATTTATTTAAAGATTCTAATCAGAATCTACGCCAAAACATGCACGTTCAGTAAAACTTCTTAAAATATATTTTTGGAACCCAAAATTAATGAAATAAAATGTTTTAAACAAGTTAATTTAATTTATACCATTATATATATATATATATATATATATATATTAGTATATTTGAAAGACATCATTTGGAAATCATATGTGCTCGGGAAAATTTTATTTCCGAAATACCAGTTGAACATTTTACCTAAGTACTTGATCCTCAATTGAACTACTGTTTTTTTTTACTTATGTTCTTTATATATTCTGCACCGCAAACGCATTATTTGTTTAAATAAAAAAAATCGTTCGTGTTTCTTCTTTTTTTCTATTTTTTCTCTGACTACTTCTTTCTTTAATATTGCTCAAAGTGCAAATCCATTCGATTTATCCGCTGGGGGTACTTCGGTCTGGTGTTGAAGTCGGCACGAGCCCCATATGAGGGCGAATAGTAGACTCTGCGTTATCGAGGTTTCCAAGGCAACAGCCGACAGCTTCTTTCGTCAGCCTGTCGGCATACCTATAATAATAGGAGGCCTGGTGGCCAAAAAAAAATTCTTTTTTGCCGCATATATTCTATATTATGCTGATTATGATAAAATGTATTGATATATCCTACTCCTAAATCTAATTCTCTCTTAAATTCGCCTATTCTACTTATGTCCTCTAACTTTAACTTAATTAATAATGAAATAGATATTCACAACACTTCACCTAGTCAAATAATCTCCATCTGCACAAGTTAACCTTTTTATTTTGTTTTCAAATATCTCATTATTTTATCTTATTCTGTTTATAAATAATATTGTTACATTCTGCATTATATGTAATTTTATGTTAAGCATTTTATGTTAATAACTATATATTTTATTTTTGTATATATTTCAATTGTTATTCACTATGTAAAATAATTATATTTTTGAGTCCTCTTGGAAAAAATCTTTGGGCTATATATTTAAAATAAATAAAAAATAAATAAATATATTCATACCACATTGTAAGAGTGTTTTTGTACAGGTATTGGGTAGAAAACTTGTGTGTATCACCCATTAACTTTAATTTATTTTATTCAATGAAATACATGGTTTTAAGTCTAAAAATCTAAGCCAAAAAATCCTACGAAAAATGTTCGATAAGAAACTTATTGGAATTTTCATACGTGATTCCAACGAAAATTCAACTATTAAGTGCTAAAAAGCATTATTTTTGTCTAATATTCTGTTAAGGAATCTTATCATCTTATCATAATCAGTATCATTCCCAAGTAATATTTTTCTAACAGTGTTTGATTTTTTTAAATCGATTCGGTAGTATGAGCTTAAATGTGGACGAAAGTTTAACACTTTTTTCCAAATAACAAAGAAACGGGTTGGCAGATTGTAGCACAAAACTGACAAACGATAGTCCTTATTGAAATACATCAAATGAATTTTAAATTTCTGAAATCGGTTCGAGCGTTTTTGAGCAAACGTCGATGAAAGGTCTAATTTTGACAAATGCCAAAAAAACAATACTAATTTTGTAAACTTTGACGAATTTTTAAAATTAAACGACTTATCGTAGGGCCATAATATTTTAGTATGATCTATAAGACTATGGTATCTTCTGTCAAAAAAAAATCCAAAAAAATATTTTTGCATTAGCAGCAACATTAAAAATTAGAATTTTGTCAAACTCATTAAGTATATTTTTACATATGTTCTTACAAAATAATTTTGTACAAGTTTCCCAAATATATCATTCACTTTAGACAAATGCCATACTAGGTAAGAGTTATAACAAAAAATGTATGTACTATCGATTACCGTATACAATATATATTAACCTTATCTTTTTCAAAGTTTTTATTTAAATAACCTTTTAATCTATATTAGAAATATTTATTCTCAACCTGAATCTAACTTGAATCAAACAATCTAACTAATCTAACTTGAATCTGACTTGTTTTTAACAGAAATCTTGCTAAACTCTTTCAAAATTCTCGTTAAAATCTTCATTTTATGAGTTTGTAAAAATATTCTAACTTGAATCTCGTTGATTGGTATCTAACTCTGAAACAATTTTTTTAGCTTGAATCTAACTTAACTGTTATTATGAATATAACGAGCATGCGTTACACAGAAATATTTTTTTTTATTTATCAAAATACATTATATTGCATCGACTTGGCAATATTTGAGATACATACTTTTTTTAGAACAAATTAAAGTATTTGAGTTACACTAGAACTTTACATATATAACAAAGATTAAACTATTATGTAGCATATATTTATTGATAATGATGAATATTATAATTTCCTTAAACTATAATGATCGCGATATTGAGATTATGATTTTGCGTGTCTGGTTTGTATGAATCTGAAACAAAAATATTGGTAGATAATAGATTTTAGAATTGATTTAAGAATTCAAAGCAGTTTTGTAATTACTATTTTTGTTAATGTTGCATAAAAATACCTTAAACTATTAATGATCAGGTGGTCCATCCTTAAGGCCAAAGTATAGTCCTACACCAATTGCTGCCAAAATTAGTACACCAACTACGCCCAAACAGCATAATATGCTCATACTCAAGTTGCATAAGCTGAAAATTATTTATAAAATTATAATCATCATATAAAATATATTACAATTTTATTTTATTAATGATCAATATTATCAATATATTTAAACATATTTTCAACTAAAAGTTGAAAAGACTATTAATATTTTAATGAATGTTATTCAAAGATGTAATGCTAATTGTATAATTACTTTGAACTTCAAAGTTTGAATCGTAATAGTACTGGTAAAATATTAAATATTGAAATTATCAAATGGAGATCCAACAAATTTGCCAAAGTTCAAATGAAAACACATTAATTAGTGTTAATTTAAAAAACGAGTTATTATCACTTACAGAGTGCGTTGACATTTTTGGCTGATAAATTAATTTAACTTTGACTCCCATAAATGTAAGTACATTTATGGGATACATAAGTACTCAGATATTCTGAAGAATTTTGTGTAAAAACAAAATTTTATGATAATATAGTTATACTATTATTTTAAGAAATATTAAATCATTATCATTTGACATATTCGGATTAATTGGATTAACAATTAAATAAAATCTAGAATAATTCATTAGTTTAAAGTAGGTACTTTAAACATTTTTGATATAATGAACATATTTTAAAAATTACAAATGCAAATTAATCAAATTATTAATATCTTAAAATCATTTTAGTACAAGTATATACATATTTAAATAAATATATGCTCAAAAACATTTTAACATAAAATTCTATAATTATGCAACATCTGAATTGTATTTGCACAAAATTGTTATCACGAACACAAATTATTTAGCACGATAAAATTAATTATTATCGCCTTATGGCAGCATCGAAGACATTTATATTATTTTATTGGTAATTTGTTATATTTGATGTGTTGGATATATTCACATAAAATTTTATTTTGTAAAAAAATTATAAAACATGTGATCCATATCAAGGAAAATTAAACACCTACGAAAACAGATAAATTGAAGCTAATACAAAAGAACATAGGAAGTCTCTTATATTAAATTGAAAACAATCGTTAGACATATCAAATACAATTATTTTGTCTTCTATAATAACAATTTGAAAATAAAACTAAGGAGTTGCAGGAGCTTATTTGTAAATATCACTAATGACAAATTTCCTCGATTAATCATGGTGAACGCATTTTGATTTTGTCGTATACTCATGCAAATGGAATTCAAAATGTTTAAAAATTCTCATGCGTTTAATCAAATAAATATAGTTATGATCACGAATAAATATTTTGAATACATACGACACATTGCAAATGATAAAATATTGCTAATAAATATTACCACATATTATTTCAATAATATATTCAAAACTTACCAACAGAATACTGATTTAAGACAGTCGCACATTGTGTAGAAGTTTCACAAGTTGTTTCGACAATGACTAAATTTCAAAATATATTTTATACGATGACATCTACGCCTTATCAGCTGATTAATGCCGACGTGGTTGGATGTTTGATTACATACGACACCTATTATCACAAGTACCCGAAACTATCGATTTGCACCTAAAAAAGAATTTATATAGTTGAGAACATGATACTTTTATTAAGTGGGCCTATAGGCGCATATAAAAACTATTTTATTACAATTACTGCTACTATATTTTTAAGTTACGCCTTAAAAATTGGGTCAAGACCTTTATGAGATTTTTTTCTGATAAATGTTTTCTTTTTCTGTATTTTTTGCGCAAGCAATTTTTGGTATCTGAGTGCAAGCTCAGTACCTATATTGTTTTGATATTTTAAAAAAGGGTTCATATATCAAGAGTTATTTTTAACTCCGGCCAGCTTGATATCAAGCAGAAGTACCATCAGATTTTTGAGTTAAGTAATATCCCTCTCAAGAGTTTTAAAACGTCTTTATTTTTCCCTTTGTTTCGACGTAAAATTCTACGTCATCATCAGTGGTTCTACAATTTAAAACTAAAATAAAAACTAAATATAAACAGAGTAAGAATAAAAAAAGAAAGAAATTTAACTAAAAAGAAAGACTATATATATCTAAATCTTAAATTTAAAAAACAGAAAGCGTTACTTAGTTGAAATTCTTAGATTAACACTTATACATATGAAATACATACAAAAATTATAGATGTTTTAAAAATCTTTACTTTATTTATTTTTTACTTGATGTTACGCCCTCGAAGAAGTTAATCATACATTTCAACATCTATAAATATATCAGTTAGTTTTACAGATAAAAATTATTAAATTATAAAAATTATGAATGTTTTTTAAAAATTTATTTGAAATCCATACGTTTCGACTAACATCTTAACCTTCAGTGGAATATACTGTCGACTATAATAATTAAATTAGGTAAAAAATTTCTAACAATTTAAGAATAAATGTATTAATAATAGTAACCTAGTTTATCAGATAAAATGCTCAGATTGCGAACTTATTTACTTCATGAACGCAAATATAATTTCAAAAACAGTAAAAAAAATTAAAAAAGGGATACTGAATTTTAAAGTGAAGACTTAAGTTAAATATTCTAAAGAATACTGAATTGTGTTTTTGGATTACTTTTGTTAGAAATTATTCACCTAGTTTAATTATTATACAGTTGACGGTATATTATATAATATATATATATATATATATATATATTTATATATATATATATATATATATATATACATAACAAAAGTAAAAAGTAAATATTGTAAAATAATAAAGACGCAGAAATTTTCTTATCTACATTTTTGAACGTCAAAACATTAGTCATACCTTCTAGTAAAAATAATTATATGATAACACATAATCGCACATAATCCTATTATAAAATACCTTCAAACTTCAATTGATTTGATTAGTTCTAGGAATAAATAAAGCTATTTAATGAAAACTAGCATAGAAAGATAATTTTAAATAGTAAATAGTATTTAGGAATTTATTGCTAAATTTTATGCTCATTTCCTCTAAAATGTTAAAGCAAAATTATTATCTATGACTAATGTTTTCTGTTCAAGAAACTTGTTGATATAGAAAACGTATATACCATTTTTCATCATATTTCATATACAAAAAATATATGCCTTTTAATTCTATTAATTTTTTTCTGTTTTTAATAATCAATGTGTGTCAAACACATAATAAATAAGTCAGTTTTTCTTATTTTTTTAAATTAATATTTCTACCCAAATTATAAAAGAATTTAAATGGACATTTCAACACATAGTATATCACGCTATTTTAATTCATTCATGAAAGGGGAATGAATGGATTCAAAGTGACTTTAATTATAATCATTTAAATTAAATAACCGTGTAAATCAGAAAGAACATCGTTGCATGTTCGAGCACATTTTGTCGAAGTCAACATTAATATGCAAATTTTTAAAAACATCTCATAAAAATAACAATATCTTTGTAAAAAATCACGAGGCAAATATAAAATAAATTATAATATAATCACTTTAAATCTTTACACTCAAAAAATATATAGTACTCTACATTATGCCATAAGCATTAAAAATCGAATGTAAAATCGATATTATTTATGATCCAAAATTAACTAATTAGCACAATATTGTTCAATTTTTATTTTTGAATTTATTATATATTTTACTGATCTTTTTTGTATATGTGAAACGCATTAAATGGATTATTGAGCACTTTTGTATTACATAAAACAAGCATGAATAACATTGCATAATTCAAGCATTTGAATCTAAAACTTCTTTATTTCCTTGCAATAAATAATACTGTTTATTACTAGCTTTATGAGAAAAAAAATCATTTATTTGTCGTTACAAAATAAGTTATTCGTTTGGTTTAAGATCTCTATAAAATATAGCAATTAAAAAAATTAAATTTGAAACGTGACAATAACAATTTAATTTGCAAAATAAATTAGTGTGAAATACAATAGTGTAACTATGTAAATAAGTTAATATATTCAATGTAATAAAAATAAACACGTAATTTTTCTAACTTTTATAAATATGCAGAAATCACGTAAGTTGTTGCTAGTTACGCAAAATGTTGTTAAATGTAGGTCGTTTTAAAAATATAAAATTTAGTAATTATTCATATAATTAAATAAAATAAGTACAGCTCTAAATTAAGCAAAAAAAATCTCAAAAATATACATTTACCAAAGCGCAGTCAAATTTTTTATCTGTATTTTGTTTACTTTAATTGATATCTGGGAAATTTGTGACTAATGCTATATTAAATATTATCTAGATTAATCATATGAAAATCATATCGTATGTAATTCATCATGTAAAAAAATTTAAATAATAGATAATTAATTAATTAATATAGATCAAGAATAGTTTATAGTGTTTCACAAACACTATTCTTTACCTTGCAATTTTATTTTGTATGGGTAAGTCATTTCGTACTGTAGTAAACACATTTATAATTATAAATATAATTTAATTGTATATATGTATATATAAAATATGTAAATGTATATATGCTATATATAAATTCTTTGTCTTGATAATTTATAAAATAAAATACTAAATCATCAACATACGAATCAGCTGAAAAATCTGGGGCTCTGCATCGTACTAGAATTTTTTATTGTAGATATAAAAATTCCATATCCAAATCAAAAATCCGGTAAAGCAAATATTACTTTTGGCTTTCCACTAATCAAAATTCTCATTTCTGGAGTTTACTTATTTTTAGAAATATTTGCCCAATTTCCTGCCAGATGCCCAATGAAAGTTTTCTTTGGCCACTAAATTCTAATAATATTATATTTGAAGGTTTTATTTATTGGCTAATTTATAGTTTCCACGAATTTAGATACTTGATCTGTGCCAGACAAAATAACAGTAGCAAAATTATATTATTTACATTAATTAATAAAATATAAATAAATTAGTTGCTTCGAAGGAATATAATATTAAGCAAAAATACTGAAATATTTATTCTATATTTTATTTTGTGTTATAAAAATAACCTTCACATCGATTCATAAACTTGTTGTTGATCCAAATAAAGAAATTTACGTGGAAATTCATGTTCATGTGCTAATATATGTTTCCATGACGGTAATGCCAATGTCAATATATATTGAATCAGCCATTAGCGCTCTAATGGAAACTGATGAGGCAATATATTAGTTGAATCTTAAAAAAATGTTATAGAAATCAAATATATTATAAAAATAAAAATAATAGTTAAAATACTATTTGACCCTTGCTAATATGAACAAGTGCAGTAAATTCGCTAACGTGATTCTAACTAGATTCTAACTAAAATGTTGATGGATTCTTACTAGAATTTTTTAAGTCAAACAAAGATTTAGCAAGTGCCAATACTAGTATAATTTTTTTATTTGCATAGATTTATTGCCGATCAAAATAATATACCTACCTTAATTAGCCTAATACATTTCATAATATTTTGCGAGTTTGTAAAGATATTCTGTCTAATTCTGACTAATATTTTTGCTAAAAATCTTGCTAAAATCAAAAATTTATCAATCACACTTTGGAGTAAGCCGTGCCAAAATTTAAAAAATATGTTGTAACCATTGAAAAAATTGCTAAATCTAAATTCTTATTAATAATTAGCTGTATTATTTGCACGGATCAGAAAGTTTTCGCAATTTACTTTAACCAGTTAACTGTGATTGACGAATATTCACGTCATGGATCAGTGGCAGAATTTTCTGTATTGACGTGTATATTCGTCATGGGTATAAAACAATGACTATTTGCTGTATAAATTGAAATTTTGAGTTGTTTAGAATATTTTGGGGATATGATTGTATAAAATAAGTAGTTGTAAGTGGCATTTTACCTTAAGACAAGTTGCATGAACTTTCAGAAAAGTAGAAATATTATTCTTAATTAATGAGAATTTCGATTTAGCTAAAGCAATAACATTTTCCACTGATTTTTGAATGATTTTCTACATTGAATTTAATGTAATTTATATTTATGTTAACAAAGAAGTAAAATGTTTAATTTTAGTAAATAAGTCCATATTTTTCATTCGATAAATAACCAGCATAACTAAGTTCAATTTATAAATTCGATAGATTCTCCAACAAAAAATAAGTTTTGGTATTCAAACTATGTGTATATTATAAAAATAACGAAAATACAATTTGAATCTTGAAAATATGGAAAAGTTCAGTAAATTAGCTTATAAGAACTCCTACAAACCTTTTTATTTATTTTCAAATATCTTTTATTATTTTATCTTATTCTATATAATATTGTTATATTCAGTATATTATGAAGTTTTGTGTTATTTAGTGCATTATATATTATACTATTGTAATTTATCCATATTGTTTATTAATTGTTATCCATAATGTACAATATTTGTATTTTTAAGTCCTCTTGGAACTAATAAGAGGACTATATATTCAAAAAATAACATAAAATAAATAAAATAAAATAGTTCTAGTTCAATTTATCTGATTTTCTTCATCATATTTATATTTTTGTTAATTATGTATTTTCCTTAAATATATTTATATATATATATATATATATATATATATATATTGTTTGTGGTTATTGTGATATTTTCTCACATAATTAATATTATATGGATTTAAGTAATAGTTATGTTTAATGTATTATAGTTCAAATAATTGTTTTGTTATCTTCCAATAAAGATAGGTGTCACGTAGTACATTCATAAAAGTACTTTTTTAATGAAAAAACTTAAAGTACAGAATAATTTCAAAAAAATATACATATTTTTGAAAATATTTTCTTAAGGTAATCCTCGTATACAATTTTAGTTCCATGTTACAAAAAATTCATGGGTGCGTTAGTATCTCAGGTAAAAGCCTGATTGTTATTTACCTGTCAGCTGCTCGCCGAACCTTGCAGAGGTCAATGCATTCTTGTTGTTTTAATAAAAACACAGTCACAAAAACACTTTAGAATACAAAATCTTTCAACTGAAATATAATTTTAAAGCACTAGGCTACATGGTTTCAATTGAACTATTCCACGTAGAATCTAATTTTATTGGTTTAATAATTATAATTATGTTTTGACAAAGAAGTCGTACGGCTTCGTTGCACTTCGTACGAGTTTTGATTTTATTCTCTTCGGCTTGACGATCCCCGCCGTATGCGTTCATATATACATAGCCGACATACGGGATGCAATGGTGCGTGAATGTTTGTGACATCATTAAAATATTTATAGAATTCAAGATGTTATTTTAATACGTTGATCAGGCGCATTTTTAGAAAAGAAATTCAGCTGAGTATTTGTGTAAAGTTTGTTACTTGAACAGTTAACGGTGTCGATGGGTGCGCTTTGTTTTGTGTCGTCTGTAACAGCGAAACAGGACACCTGAAGGAATTTTTGGAGAATGGATGGTGAACAAAGCTAAGGACTTTATACCATGACATTAGTTGAATTTATTATTCCAACCAGAACACGTGAAGGAATTTTTAAATCAATGGAGAATAAAGTTGGCTAGAAAGTCAAAGGATTGTTAAGGTCAATACTATGACCCTGTTTTAGCTTGCTGTTGAATTCTGGGACAACCTGTATAAGGTAATGTAAAAATTAACTTGTACTGATTGTACTTTTAGCTAAAGAGAATTAGAAAAAATTATCTTTAGCTAAATTTTATTATTATGTACATGTAGTAACAAAAAATCTAGCTCATGAAGAGTCAAGGGTAAGATATCGGATGGAAATATAGGTTATATTTTTTACAAAATCAAAAAAAAATTGTACTACATTTTACTTTTACGTTAACATAAGCATATACGTATGGCGGGGTACAAAGATTTTATTTGAATTTCAAATCACAACAAATGACACATATCAAACAGCTATCTAACTATGTACAGTCAAATTCATCATTCTAGTAATTTTCAGAGTTAAAGAGAATTTTTGGGGGCAATTAGATTCATTATTTCATTTTTAATTATCTTTTTAATTATTTATTTTTCATATCTCAGTCAGACAGAGGGGTGAATGGTATGAGAAATTATGAAACAATGTATATATATATATATATATATATATATATATATTCATATTATTTGTCTTTTTCGTTATACAATAATATATTTATTATAATTACAATATCTTTGAATACCTTTTAAATCTTTTTTGTATTATTTTTTTTTATAATATTACTTTATTTTCCTTTTTAAATTATTGTCGTCGCTGGTATTCTTAATTTCGATTGGCAGTTCATTATACATTTTAATTTTAATTAAGTTCTACGAAATAACTACACTAATTAATCAATGCAATTATAAGGTTGAATAACAAAATTATAATTATTATTATTAATTATGAAATATAATAAACAAAAATAATAATCAACTCTTACTACTATTATGAGCCATGTTTTTTTAGGGAGTTTCTGTTTAATTTATTATTATCAGACTGATTATTTTTTTAAATGAAATTAATGTAAATAAGAATGCAATTTTTATTTGAAAAACGTATTTCATATATTGTTAGTATATTTTTCACAAAGACACTCAACACAAACTTCGTCAGAAAAATTCATCTTTAGAGTTAGAATAACTCTTCTTAGAGTTCATCTTTAGAGTTAGAATAATATTAATTTGATCTATTTTTTGTAAAATTGCCTTTTCATACTTATTTAACATTTAACTATCTTATCTCAACATTTATCTAATTTAATTTAACTAATTATCTTAATATTCAATACTTGCCAATGTAATGGTTCTTTTACCCCAAACACGTGTAAGCTATTCTAGATACAAAAAAACTTTAAAATCTAACTTATGTCTAACAATACACTTCATAAAACAATTTAATAAATTTTAACAAACATTTAAAATTTATTAAAGATTATAAAATAAACATTTCACAAAATCTGGTTTTGGTTATAATAATATTTACATATATTTTGCAACCAAATTTCTCAAACCTTTTCGTAGATATTTATCCACTCGCTTCTGTAAGATAAATAAAATATATATATATATATATATTTGTATATATATATATATAAGAATTATAAATTATTCAAATTATTAATTTAAATTTACCTGTATTGTTCCCCATGTGATATCAGGATCGTCATCCTGGGCATCTCTAGGATCTTTTGTGGATAATGTAATTTCGTTTTCATATGTATCCTCTTCTGTAAAGCCCTTTCTTTTTGATCCTTCTAATTCTAAAAAAAATTGTAGATCTATTTTCGACATATGTAATAATAATAGTTTTCAAAATACTCATATCAATAAATCAATTAATAAATTCACAATTATGTAATTATTTTAGGAAAATGTTATGAATAAATTTTAGGTAAATGTTAGGAATAACTTTAAATTTAAAGGCAAAAATGATAGAAAATACAATAATTTGGCAAAATGTATTGTGTTTTTTTTTTCTAAAATTTTATGTGGTTTTGGAACTTACGTGAGTCATAATCGTCTTTATTAATATCTTTAGCAATACGTTTAGTTTCATCGCCTTTTGGTTCGTAAAAGCAGAAGTAGTAAATCAGCCCTGCAACAACCCCAAGAAGTAGTAAACCACCTAACAGGCATAATATACAAAATAACAGACGGCAGGCACTGAAAAAAATAATAATTTATTAGTTAATATATTCCAAAATTTCACTTCAATTCAAAAGTCACAGAGCTGTCATATGATAAGTATAAAAATTGTAATTATTATTAATGTATTAATTATTATTATTATTATTTGAATATGCAAAAACTAACCAGCACGAGTCTCCAAATACATCAGCAAAAACACCACACATTATGATTGCTAAATTTAATTCATACCCAAAACTGAATTTTGTTTTTAAAAATTTCTGAATAAAAGCTCACTATGTTTTATCATATAATTTGTCATAATGACGTTAGCAAATTATATTGTTTATATTATAGATTATATAATTGTAGAAAAATATAATGTACATTATTCTTTAGATTGTCTGTTATTTTATAGCTAATGTTTTTCTTTAAATTGCTTCCTCAACCTAGAATTATGGACGCTTCTATTGACAACATCTGTTCACTTACTCAGTCAACGATTTATTTGTTTGTATTTGCATTGAAAACATTTCGATTTATTAAAATTGGGGGACCAACTGTGGTGATTTTCATGGCATTGAGTATATTATATTCGAAACAATATATTTATGATAAATAATGGGCATTAAAATCAATAAAGTGGTTATAAATCAATAGAACAAATACTATTTGTTACTATGAATCTTCAGTTCACTTATTTAATAAAGTGCACCAGTACCAGAGTATATATTTAATATCAACATAAGTTTCCAAAATAGTGATATTGGTGCACAAAATTATCTCCTGTGTTCCGTGCCAAGTTATAGCTTTAAACCCAAACTTTATCGTTATGTGTTCTCTGCCAAGTTTGTTGGGCTCCATCTCCATGGCATTAAACTGTGATGTGATTTGATATTCGCCCATACGACCTTATGTCGTGTTTCGGTACTTGGCGTGTTGAGATTCTCTCACGCCTCATGCCTCCGCAGAGCTTTAAGCTTTGAGCTTTGAGCTTTCCCAGGCAGGTTGATGGAGATCGGGGTACGAAAGCGTGTTCGGGCTCGGTTTCGGCGCTATGGCGAAAAAGAGGAAAAGAGGCGAACCTCATGGGAGCATAGGGAGGGATTAGGGATATTTGAATGCACTATTTATATTTAATTGGTATTATTCCAAACTTCCATGATATATTTGCTTGGTATTATTAGAGAGCTCCATGAAAATCGACTTAAAAAATTTTTTCAATAGTTAATTACAAGAAAAGAACTCGATATGGTAATAATTTTTGCAAAATTTGTCGAATTTTTAAAATTAAACGACTTGTGGTAGAACCGTAATATTTAAGTATCACCTATAAAACTATGGTATCCACCATCCAAAAAAAATTATAACTAGCTGTAAGTGGAATTCTGTCTTAAGGCAATTAGGGCATCGTGCCTTAAGGCAAATTGCTGGAACTTCCCGTACCGCAATTCAAAATTCGAGTAATTAAAAATAATCAATAATAATAATCAATAAAAGCAGATCAATGATTTGAAACTTTTAATAGAATTTCGAACCATATTAAATCATTCTATCTTAAATCATTTATTTTGAAATATTTTGGAAATTTTGAACTATTTTTCAAAGCAACCGCACTGCTTTAGCTGCATAGAGACGAAATATCGAAACGCGTAAGCGCCGCGTCGCCGTCTAACGGGCAAACGATGTTACGAAACCCTTAAAAATGTAAACAAAATTCATACATATTCAAAAATCTCCATAAAATACCTGATAAATTGATGTGCCTATATCTAATGATCATTTTTGACCGCCAAATGGCATTTTTTTTCACTTTTTTACTAGAACTTTGAAACTGCTAGACCTGCCTTCCCAAAAATTTAATCAATTCTTCATCCTGCCAATATAAGTAAAATGTTTTTTGAATTATTGAAATCGAACGCTCCGTTCTCTTGAAAACTGAGTTACCGTTTTTGGCTCTTTTTGTCGTGTATCTTCGGAACGGCTAGACCTGTCTTTGCCAAAAACTAATCAGGACGTCTCCTTATTAATACGTATCGAATGTTTTCTGAATTCAAATCGGTTGATCCGTGTTCCTGAAATCGTCGACGAAAATTTGTATCCGCACACACACTCACCCACATACACACGCATACATCCAGTTTTTCTAAGGTGTGCCAAAATATTCAGAAACCTTTGAAACGTAAAGATATAGGTATAAAAAAAATTATTTTCGATTTTTTTCGATTACTATAACTTACCCTACGGGAAGTTAATAAAATGAACAGTTGATTTTTTTTTAAATGCAAATATATAAATATTAATGCATATCTATTTATATGATATAAATGTATGTCTATTGAATAGGGTAGATCGGAGTAAAAAGTTGCACTATCATTATCGTTACATAAAACTTACCAACCATGGTCCCTATCGAGATACATTTAATGGCTTT